CAAATATGTTTTGTCTAAATATGAATCACTCTACATTTTTTTTTACGGATCGGTCCATTATTGGTCATAGTTCCCATATAAGGCCCACTTCCGAAAATCACTTAAATGCATATATTTCATTGAATAATAAAGCTATCGGGATACAATTCGACACAAGTATGTGTTGTATACATACAAATCATTCTACAAATTTTTTTACGGATCGGTCCATTATTCGTCATAGCTCCCATATAAGGCCCACTTCCGAAAATCACTTAAAAACACATATTTCATTGTCAACTAAAGCTATCGTCATAAAATTCGACAAAAATATGTTTTGTGTAGATTCAAATCATTCCACAAAATTTTTTACGGATCGGTCCAATATTGGTCATAGCTCCCATATAAAGCCCACTTCCGAAAATCACTTAAAAGCACATTGTCAAATAAAGCTATCTTGATAAAATTCGACACAAATATGTTTTGTCTTTATATGAGTCACTCTACGAATTTTTTTCCGGATAGGCTCATAATTGGCCATAACTCCCATATAAAGTCGACTTCCGAAAATCACTTAAACGCATATATTTCATTAAATTCTAAAAATATAAGGATAAAATTCGACTTGAATATATTTTGTGTGCATATAAATCATTTTACCACTTTTTTCCCGGATTGGTCCATTATTGGTCATAGCTCCCATATAAGTACCACTTCCGAAAATCACTTAAACGCACATATTTAATTGTTAAATAAAGTTATCTAGATAAAATTCGGCTCAAATATGTTTTATCTTTATATGAATCACTCTTCCAAAATTTTCCGGATTGGTCCATATATGGTAATAGCTGCTATATAAGGTCCACTTAAAAAAAATCACTTAAGCGCACATATTTCATTATCAAATAAAGATATCTTGATAAAATTCGACAAAAATATGTTTTGTGTAAGGTCATAGCTCGTATACATATAAAGCACTTCCGAAAATCACCTAAACGCACATATTTCATTAATTAGTAAATCTATTATAGTAAAATTCAAATTGATCTTTTTTGGCATATAAATCATTATATGAAATTTTTTCCTTTTCGGTCGATAACGGAATTAATATACAATTTACTCGACCTTATTAAAATTAGTTTGACATATGCATTAATGTTAGTACCGTCAATACGCAAACAAAAATTTTGCCAAGTTATCTGAAAATTAGATATTTAAATGAGTTTTAATAAAAAGTAGCTTGCTGGTGGAGGGTATTTAAGATTCGGCATAGCCGAATATAGCACTCTAACTTGTTTATATTTTAATTCTGTTAGAAGTATTTTAATAGGGGGTTACTGCTTTCTAAAAAAAAATTAAATAATTAAAAATATATTAATTAATTTATTTATTGTTTTGAATCAATAAAACGTTACCTTTCATGAACATTTTTTAAATAACTTGGAATTAAACCGTCTATAAAGATCTGAAATTACTAAGTCATGGATTATTTTTAAAATTATTTACAGTCACTAACGATAGAAACATATTAACGACCCTAAAAGGGATATTGCTTTTGACACTAATACTGCAATACAATTTTTTTTTTGCTCTCTTCTAATTAAGGAGTTATACACTTTCAAAAACTTAAGAATATTAGTATCATATAAAGGTAATAGAAAGACCTGGTGTTAATAACTAAAAAAATACCTATAATTAGAATAATTAAATCCAAAGCTATATGAAAATTAATAAAATTGTATTTAAAAAAGGTGGTTTTTAAAATATTTGATTTTAATATTAAATATCTTATATGGGCAATTTCGTGTCAAGTGACCTGACCCAAGTCGAAAAATAATTTATGTATAAAATATAATGATTCCAGCTAACGTTTAAATACTTTAAGTAAAATTTTAATGTATTTTTTTTTGTTACGATAATGAAATACAAATAAAAATTTAGCTCAAAGTGATCATACGTAATCTAGAAACAGGACCTAAACGCGCAAATAGTTTAAAAAATATTGAAAGTTTAGATTTAACTCAAATAAATCTAAATAGGTTAAAAATGCAATGTTCATCAAATGAAGCCGAAACGTACAACTTGAAAAAGTCTTTAAATGCTTATAACTCCTAAACCAATTACGAGAGAGACGGAATTTAATATAGAAATATTTTTAATTAAACATATTAGACTTCGTTTAAAAATAATGGAAATGGAAGCCGTTTAGAGTTATTAACTTATTCCTAAAATAGTATATTAATGTAAAATATGACAACTTACTTTTTAATTCTATTTATATAATCCTTGAAGATAATTACTTTTTGGTATATATTTAATAAACTTCACCAATTAACAAAACCTTCTTAAATGTTTTTTAACAGTTGACTTTTAACACAACACTGTCATATTGTTCTTATTGCTTAATATTCACAATATATTAATTACACTATTTTTCTATGAATATTAAATTCAATAACTCATTTAAGTTTTACAATGAATAATTAAAATTGAACATGACTGGACAAAACACAAAACATCACTGAACTTAGCCAAATTTCTGCATTATTTATTTTTATTTTTTTTCGCGTTCACGCTAAAAAATGTAGTATTTATTTTTTTGTTTTTGTACTCTTCTTACTATCATCCGGAAGTAACCTAAAAGTATACTTCCAGAAGGGGAAAACTAGAAATCAATGTATTTTGTTTTTGTAAAATGTGTGCTCTCGTCTGTCAATCGTCCAGAAGTGACTACAATCTACACTTACAGATGAATAAAATACAACATTAATGTGAAAACTCTTCAAAATGTCTTCCAGAAGTGACAATTCAAGAAGATACAAATTAGGAAACAATGTATTTTGTTATTGTAAAATGTGTGTTCTCACCCAACTATCATTCAGAAGTCACTAAACGTATACTTCCAGATGAAAAATATTCAACAGTCATGGTTTGTTGTTTAAGCAAAATGGATACAGTCTTCTAAATATCATCCGGAAGTAACTTAAAAGTATATTTCTAGAAGACGAAAATTCGAAATCAATGTATTTTGTTTTTGTAAAATGTGCGTTCTCGTCTGACAATTGTCCAGAAGTGTTTCTGACGTGGTGTCTGGGGTGATGCGCAATAGTTTTGTCTTCTAAATGTTTGAAGGGTAGATACTCATAACCAGGGCTGCCAGATGAATTTTTGAAAAAAATCGTCAATTTCACGATAAATTTTTAAATAATCGTCATTTTGGTTTAAGGAAATCGTCAAAAAATCGGAGAATATGAAATGCTTAAAATTTAAAAAAAAAATTAAAAATATTGTAATATTTTAAGATGAAATATATATAAAAATTTATAATATTAATACATATTTATGTAAAATTCGAAAAATACGGAATATTATTGCTCAAAATTCAATAAACTTTGAGTTTTGAAGAATATTCGACAGTAATGTTAATTCTTTTCTAATGTTCTTATAATGTTTTCAATGTTCTGGCATTTTTAAAAATATCAAACATAAATACTGCTAAAATTTACATAGTGTACACACATAGTTTTTAGGTATAGAAACTTGTACATTTTTTTCCTTAAATTTCTCAAAGTTTGTTGCATCACAATATTGCTTGTTTTGGTGCACAAGGAATATTTTATTCTTTTTAAGCAAAAAACTGTTTGTAAATTTTTGAAAGTTTCTGTAAACAAGTACTTACCCAGCAAAAAATATTCTTGATTTGGAAGCAATAAATATAACTACTGCATCTCCTCCTCTATTGCATCTTAAAATTATTGCCTTACAAAAAAGATTTTGGAAGGCATATATTCAGCAATTATTGTTTGTGGTGTAGAAATTTGCTTCTCAACAGCTCTAAAATCACTTAATTTTTGCATCTTTCTAAATTTAAATCAATGTTCAGTGTTGAAAAATAATATTAATTCACTGAAATCAGCACAATTTCAACAGTATGAAATATGCTCATTTTGGATTCCTTAGGCAGAGCCTCTACGAGAGGAATCCCATATAAAAATCATATATTCTTTCATAACAAGTGCAAGCAGTAACAACTGCTCTCTGCCTTACAAATCTGCTTCCGAAGAAGCACTATTTTTTGCTGGGTAGATATAAAAAGATTAAACTTGGATTTCTTCGTATAATTTAGTTCTTTTACAAACTTGTTTGTACTGGATTTAACTTATACAGTGTGAAAATTTGGTTCAGATCTGTCGATCTCTTCAAAAGTTATAAGAAATAATGTACATAGCATACACATTTAGATGTAAAATATGTTTAAGCTTTGAGAGCTTAAAACTCAAAACACCCTTTTGACTTACAATGTTTTATAATAGCTATTCTAGAATTTAATTTCTAGTTTTCATTATAATATAAATTATATTTTCACTGAATTCCAAGTTTAATATTAATTTCCTTTTTTCACTGTAAAATAAAAAAAAAATGTAAAATCTTTAATTTCAGTTTCAAGGAAAAAATCGTCAAATCGTCACTTTGATATTTTTGAAACGAAGAATCGTCAAAATGACGATAAATCGTCAAATCTGGCAGCTATGCTCATAACTATATAAACTTCGAATAAAACAGTATGGGCCGGTAACTTATCTAACTTTAATCAGTGATTAACAAAATAATCATTGTTTATTTTTTAATTACAGTAACTTTTTAAAATTTAATCTACAATTTTTTCAAATCATTGATTAAATTTAATCATAGAAATTTCAGTGTTTAAAAAGTTAAACATTGTTTGACAGAAATTTTTGTTATAAAAATACATAAAATTTTGAAAAATTCAATAAAAATGGATATATTAGGAAATTTTTATTCAACAAATAATATCAGTAAACCGAGGAAATATCAAAAACAAAGAAATCATTTTGAATATTGGTCTGAAAAGAAATTTATTAATAGATTTCGGTTAAGTTAACAAACTGTTAAATATGTGCTGCGCCAAATTTATCAGAAAATTAAGCCGCGCGTAAAAACAATCAGGTTTGTTGAATAAAATAAAAATTATAAGTTAATGGAGTTAATACTTTCCACAGAAAAGATTATTTGACACCAATGCAAAAGCTGTTATTAACACTTCGCTTTTACTCTATTGGCAATTTTTTAATCACCGTGGGTGATTTTATAGGTGTATCAAAAATGACCGCTTCCCGAGTCGTTCAACAAGTTTCAGATGCAATAGCCAGCTTAAGACCAAAATATATAAAATTTCCAAAGACCCTTGATGAGCTGAAAGAAGTATCAACAAATTTCTATACAATTTCAAAATTTCCGCGGTGTTGCGGGGCAATTGATTGCACTCATGTCAAAATACGTTGCCCTGGTATACTTTATATATAATTATTTCAAAGCAATTCTTAATTATATCGATTTTAGTGGGTTCTATTGGCGAAGTATTTAGAAATCGGAAAGGCTACTTTTCAATCAATGTTCAAACTATTGCTGATAGAAATCTTAAGGTACTAGATATTGTAGCTAGATGGCCAGGGTCCACGCATGATTCAACTATTTTTAACAACTCTTCAATTAAAACTTTTTTGGAAAGTGACGGATTTAAAAATGTTCATATTGTTGCTGATAAAGGATACGGTTTAAGAACGTATTGTTTAACGCCCATTTCATCTCCATCTACCGAGTCGGAAATACTTTATAATAAAAGCATAATAAGAACTCGAAATGTGGTTGAAAGAAAATATGGTGTAATGAAAAGAAGATTTCCTGTTTTAGCTTTAGGAATGGCTTTGAAAACTAGCACAGTAATGAATGTTATTGTTGCATGTTCAGTGCTACATAATATTGCTATTGATGTCAATGAAATTTTACCTAATATTAGTTCTGATATTATTGAAGCAGTTGAAAATGATATTGAATGTAATAAACATTTTGATGTAGATATACATGCACAATTAAATGATAGACTAGTAAGAACACAACAAGATTAAGCTAAATACTGTCGACAACACTTAGTTTCTAGTTATTTCAGCTCTTTGTAAAATGAACTTTAAATTAAATTTGGTTTCTATCAAACAAAATAAAATACTACATATGTAAATAAATTGTCCAATAGGCGTAGGTTTTGCAAAAAGTATCAATTGTTATAGGTCCTATTATAGATTACCTTTCGACAGATTTTATCCCAATACCAATGTGTCGTTTTTATATATCACAAATAGGTATATTTGGATTGTCTTTACGCATGTGAATTTTCATTTCAATCGGACTAAACGTTTATAATATTTTTATATGTCCCATTGTAGGACATTTTTAAGCAATTTGTAAAAATAAAGGAAGAGGTCTTATAAGTCTAGAGTAAGTTACAGGACAGGAAAGTCTTTATCGACTTAAATTGGTATACGTTAACATGGTAGTTGGACCAATATCCCAATTGTATAATCTAATAATTTATCATTAAAGTACGAAGTTCTTAAAAAAACTTTATTAAAAAGAGAATAAAGGGTTAATATATTGGCGAATATATACATATATTTATGTTTTTTTAATTTGCTGTTCGGCGTTTTAGATCCTGAATTTTTAATTCACAAAGTATTTTTGCTGGTCACAAAGTTCAATTTGCTTTTTTATTAGTATTAATTGGCTTTCCTTTAATTGTTTCTCAATGTTACCATGGTTTGAATTCATTACTTGAAGTTTTTGATTCATTTTTGTATGTAAATCCCTTGGGCAGTATTGTTGCCATTTCGAAAATGTTTTTTGAATGCCCAAAGAAGTGTTTTTATCCTCACTTTCACTAACAATTGCTATATCGTCCGATTCATCCAAAGTATCTATTTCTTCTTCGACAATTACGTCATCCGGGATATTTTCATTATTTTTTGGCGAAATCGCTGTCATAAATATTTGTCATTCCAGTAATTCCTTCTTCAACTAATAAAGAAGAAAGGAGTTCTTCTCAATCGTTCAGTTTATTGGTCAAAAAGGGCCCACCCCCTGTACCGAAAATATTTTTCTTGTTCTCAGCTTTTTTCTTTCGTAAAGTTTGTACCTTTGCGTAACATATTCCCATGCTTCATTTTTCGGCTTGCGAAAAATTAGTGGTTCGTTTTCTTTTAAAGCTAATTAATTATTTGTAAAGGAAATGTATTTTTAAACTATTTTTGCTGTATATTATTGATTTTCTTACCCAGATTTTTCTATTTTTTTAAATATTTTCAATAAATTTGTACAAAAATGTAAATGACGTTAAATTGAACTTTTTAATTGTAGAATTTCTGACATTCTACAATGTGTTTAATAAATCATAGTTTAAATAAAAATGAGTTACGTATAGAAATTAAGCAATGTTTATTTGTTAATCAATGATTTCTAAAACACTAGTTATTACAATTTAAACATTGAATATAAGTTACCGGCCCTATGACTGCTTAACATGAATTATTTGACAGTAATTCAATTTTTGTTTAGTTTGGGCACAAACTAATTAAAACAAGTTAGAGTGCTATATTCGGCTGAGCCGAATCTTAAATACCCTCCACCAGCAACTTTTGTATTAATACATTTCTAATTAATAAAATATTTATAGAAATAAGTTTTCTCATGTCTTAAATAGAAAAATCCCAAGATTTAAACAGCTTAAATCTACTACAATTCCAAGATTTATTGAACATTAGAAATGACACTTTCATTTAAATTTTATAGCGCCCTAAGATATGCTTTAGCGATATCTCGTATTTGCATGTATGCATGTGTGTGAAAGATTTAAGGATTTTAAAAATACATACATATATACAATTTTGTTCTACACAAATTGATAATGCAAATAGTTAAATACGGTTAAAGCGCTTTTAGGGGCAGGACCTAGTATGAGAGATATGACCAAACATAGACCGATCGTAAAAATTTTTTGAAATAGCATTAAGTGCTTTTTGCATTACAAAATAGTATTTATGAACAAAAATAGTATTTATTTATATCATTATTTGGTAATGAGTTATGCGCGTTTAAGTGTTTTTCTGAAAGGGACCTTGTATGGGAGCTATGATCAATTATGGATCGATAGGAAAACAATTTCACAGTAATATTTCTCTGTATATGAGCAATATTTTTGCCAAACTGTATATGGATATCTTAATTTAGTAATGAGTTATGTGCGTTTAAGTGATTTTCGGGAGGGGGTCTTGTATGGGAGCTATGTCCAATTATGAACCGATCGGAAAAAAATTTCACAGTAATATTTCTATGCATATGGGCAATACTTGTACCAAATTTTATTTGGATATCTTAATTTAGTAATGAGTTATGCGCGTTTAAGTGATTTTCGGGAGGGGACCTTGTATGGGAGCTTTGATCAATTATGGACCGATCGGAAAAAATTTCACAACAATATTTCTGTGCATATGAGTAATATTTGTACCAAATTTTATATGGACATCTTAATTTAGTTATGAGTTAAGCGCGTTTAAGTGATTTTCGGGAGGGGGTCTTGTATGGGAGCTATGTCCAATTATGGACCGATCGGAAAAAAATTTCACAGTAATATTTCTATGCATATGGGCAATACTTACACCAAATTTTATTTGGATATCTTAATTTAGTAATGAGTTATGCGCGTTTAAGTGATTTTCGGGAGGGGACCTTGTATGGGAGCTTTGATCAATTATGGACCGATCGGAAAAAAATTTCACAGTAATATTTCTGTGCATATGAGTAATACTTGTGCCAAATTTTATATTGATATGGATATCTGAATTTAGTAATGAGTTATGCGCGTTTAAGTGATTTTCGGGAGGGGACCTTGTATGGGAGCTATGACCAATTATGGACCGATCGAAAAAAATTTTCACAGTAATATTTCTGTGAATATGAGTAATACTTGTGCCAAATTTTATATTGATATGGATATCTGAATTTAGTAATGAGTTATGCGCGTTTAAGTGATTTTCGGGAGGGGACATTGTATGGGAGCTATGACCAATTATGGACCGATCGGAAAAAAATTTGACAGTAATATTTCTATGCATATGGGCAATACTTATACCAAATTTTATATGGATATCTTAATTTAGTAATGAGTTATGCGCGTTTATGTGATTTTCGGGAGGGGACCTTGTATGGGAGCTATGACCAATTATGGACCGATCGGAAAAAACTCTCACAGTAATGTTTCTATGCATATGGGCAATACTTACACCAAATTTTATTTGGATATCTTAATTTAGTAATGAGTTATGCGCGTTTAAGTGATTTTCGGGAGGGGACCTTGTATGGGAGCTTTGATCAATTATGGACCGATCGGAAAAAAATTTCACAACAATATTTCTGTGCATATGAGTAATATTTGTACCAAATTTTATATGGACATCTTAATTTAGTTATGAGTTAAGCGCGTTTAAGTGATTTTCGGGAGGGGGTCTTGTATGGGAGCTATGTCCAATTATGGACCGATCGGAAAAAAATTTCACAGTAATATTTCTATGCATATGGGCAATACTTGTACCAAATTTTATTTGGATATCTTAATTTAGTAATGAGTTATGCGCGTTTAAGTGATTTTCGGGAGAGGACCTTGTATGGGAGCTATGATCAATTATGGACCGATCAGAAAAAACTTTCACAGTAATATTTCTATGCATATGGGCAATACTTACACCAAATTTTATTTGGATATCTGAATTTAGTAATGAGTTATGCGCGTTTAAGTGATTTTCGGGAGGGGACCTTGTATGGGAGCTATGATCAATTATGGACTGATCGGACAAAATTTTCACAACAATATTTCTGTGCATATGAGTAATATTTGTACCAAATTTTATATGGATATCTTAATTTAGTTATGAGTTAAGCGCGTTTAAGTGATTTTCGGGAGGGGACCTTGTATGGGAGCTATGACCAATTATGGACCGATCGGAAAAAAAATTAACAGTAATATTTCTATGCATATGGGCAATACTTATACCAAATTTTATTTGGATATCTTAATTTAGTAATGAGTTATGCGCGTTTAAGTGATTTTCGGTAGGGGACCTTGTATGGGAGCTATGTCCAATTATGGACCGATCCAAAAAATTTTTCCTCTGAAAGAATTCTATTGACATGAGATTTTAATTTGTAAAATTTTGTGAAGATATCGACATTGTGGCGGAAGTTATTAACAAAAAACCCATTTTCCGGGAATATGTACTTTTGTATGGGAGGTATATGAAATTGTGGACTGATTCTGGCAATTTTCAGCAGGGATCAAGATCTTGTGCAGAAACGAATGTATGGTGATTTTCATGGACTTATCTTGCATAGTTTTCGAGAAAACTACATCAGAATGTGTAAAAAATGCTTATTTTTTTCCGAGGTTGTTTTAAATTTTGATTCATAACTTTTCCCGGTGTGAACCGATTTTGCCCATTTGCAATACCAAACAACTTAGGAAAATGAAGAACATTTTGGGTGAATTTGGTTAAGCTCTATTGCTTCGTTTTATCGTGAGCGTGTTTTACACAGACAGACGGACAGACGGACATAGCTAAATCGACTCAGAATTTGATAAGGACCCAGAATATATATACTTTGTTGGGTCTCAGATGAATATTTCTTGGTGTTACACACGGAATGACAAAGTTATATATACCCTCTATCACCACTGATGGTGGTGGAGGGTATAAAAATGTTTCCACACCAAAAAAAATCAAACAAGTTTGAAATTTTTTTTACAATTTGCTTTGAAACTTTGTATCTGGCAATTTAATTTTTCTTATCAAATTCACAAACCATCACAGGGTGTATATATTTTGTAACCGTGGCAGCATTGTTATTCATACTTAATTTTTAAGTAGGTATATCTATCAGGAACCGAAAATAATAATTATTTATGAATTTTCAAATAAAAAAGCAGCCATAAGAAAATATAGGATAACAACTTGAAAAAATATCGGAGAACAACTTGAAAACTTGGAAGCATTGTAATCCATACTTAATTTTTAAGTAGGTATAT